TCGACTCGAGGTTGAGATCAGGACAAGACGAAAGCAGAATAACTAGAAACGAAGCCGTTTGAGAACGGAAGAAGGAAAGGTGGGTTCAGGTGACGACAACAGCCAAAGGGAGAGAAAGTAAAACGTTCAATTGAAATGAGATGAGATGGGACGAAGTAGGTAGGTAAGGAATGAAGTGGGCAGGGAACTGAGAAAAGAACGGGGGACCCGGTAAGATTGCACTGAGGTCCGAAAGAATGTAATGTAGGTAAGATAGTTAATGCAATGCAAACCCTCGCTCTTTCGTGGGAGGGAGCAACAAGCTGAAGAAGTAGAATACTAGGTAGAATTAATAATGCTTCAAGCACAAGCAAGCAAGCTTGGTCCAGTGCTGTGCTGTGCTGTTACAGACAAGGGCGACCCAGCTCGATGAAAATCAGATCCTTCCAGGGGATGATCTAGCTTTACATAGTCCATCCATACATACTACCTTAGTACCTAGGTCGACACGAGGGAGCCCTAGAAATAGCAATGATGGCAGCTTTCTGCCGGGCTGGGCCTGGGTGCGGCACAGTCTGCCAATTGGATGCAATAACTAAGGTACATGTTGGTTGTTTCTTCGCCCTCCGCCATTAGGTGATTTCCCAACACTCTTTGTACACAAAACGCCTTGTGTGTGCATGTGTGCATGTGTGTGCCCCTGGCGGCTTGGCCTCCTGCAACTCCAGGGACCGGATCCAACATCATCAAACTGACAAGCACCGCCATCAACGTCAGTTCCCTCGGTTTTCCCAAAAGGGGGGCCAATCATTCTCCAAGGGCGCAAGCAAGCATAACAAGATTGCCATTCAGCGCTGTGAGAGCGTTGCTAGCGGCGGGGGCGCTCCTGGATAGTCCCCTGGCGCCAGGTACTAGCGCCAACTAAAGTATCACAGATTCCTTAGCTCACTAGGTTGGCCTGTTTACCGCCCAATGGCCATCTCCCGAGATGGTCTCGCTTGTTTCATCTGACTACCTTACCAGCCTTACTTGGGTATTTTCGGTCTGTATTGATTTGCTTGCGGGGACTGAGAGAAAACCACACATTCATTCTCCATGATCTTCTCTGACTCGTCTTCTTGACTTTCCATTAGGTACTTCGTTATGTGCGACTGTGGGATAAGATACCTTGCCCATGTACCGATGGCGCGCGCGAGATTTCAGCGTCTTTGCTCTCTTCTTTGTCCTGTCTTCCCTCCTTTACGTTACAGTCTTCTAGCGCCTTGGCCCTTTTGGGGCTGGTGCATCTATCTCAAACCTTATGCGGTTTGATACGCGGTGACTACTAATGTTGGATTTTCTCTGACAGATACGAGACTGACACTTTGACGTAGCACAGCAGATAATAGATACGCAGAACAAATTACCACCAGTGCAGTGCACCTCTTGAGGGGAGTTCGCTTGCATTGACCAGAGCAAGCTGAGCTGCAGAGAGGAAACAACTCATCAGAGAGCGCCATTTATGCAACCCACTTCAAAACTCGTGACTTTTATTGGGATGGGCAAGCTGCATCCCAGCAAGCCCCAGGCAATCCGAGCAAACCAACCAGGACCCGATACTCAAATCCATGCTCGAATACGGAAATGCTTCTTTGACAACGCGCCTTGTACGGGATGACCGCCGTAGTGCAACCGGGCTATTGTGGACTGATTACGGATAGAGAGAGGCAGCAGCTTGACCCCCCCAGAAACAATTCCTGATGATAGCCGCTGCAGTGAAGAGTAGAGCCATCTCAGTCAGAGTTCTTCACGGCATTTGATGGATGTGGTCATCTACTGATGCTCTGCATAGTATGAGGGTCAACAAAGTTAGCTGCGAATCAAAGACAGTGATACAATATGGCGAAGCTGATGCACCACGCGTCTTGCTTTTGCGTCACAGAGGCGGTAGGGACTGGTGCTTCCCTGTCAAATTCTTTGTATGTATAGCCGCACATGGCGAATCAACCGCGGCACATCCACCTGTCACTTGTGTGACAATAACTTGGAGGCGGATCGGCCTCAGGGATTCACCCACGTACCTAGCTTTTTGACAATGGTACAGCAAAGGGGTCACGATTGTGCTTCTAGCTCCCTGAGTATGGCCGGCTCAACCCCGATGACATCAGGAAAGAAGAGTTTTATGCTTAGACACACCCCTGAGCCATTTCACTCTGTAGGTTTACTACTGGATGTTGGATTCAGAGAGTGCCCTTTGTTTCATCCACAGATTTGTGTGTTGTCTGTGCAAATGGGCACTTCATCCAGACCACAAGCTGAACTGTTGCTTGTAGCGTGAAACATTAGCCTCAAGACCTGTCAATTTAAAGGAAAGAGACGCAAGCAAGTTCGAGAGCGCACCTCACAAGAATGCTTTAGGCTTGAAACCGCGTTGCTAAACTTTCCACTGTATCCCCTTGGTCAAAAGAGCCTAACCTGTCATTGAGCATATGTTTGTTTGTCTGAATAAAAAAACTGATATCAGAAAGTGTGCTTCTTGTCCAATGGCGTAATGCTCAGCATTGGCATTCTTATAGACAGATCACGCACTGAAACAATTGCCTCTTACAGCGCCTTGAAGAGGTTTCCTATGCACTGGTACTGTATCGCAATTAACATGACTTCTGGAGCAGTATCGCTGTTCATCTGTAATTTCTTATTGACCACTTGGACATATCGTGATTTCAATTATAGGCTTATAATGCTAGATAGCAAGCTGCTCAGATATGGAAGTCAGTAAAATACCTATCGACGAGGCATTTTGTATTAAAAAAAAAACGTCTTCTCCAACACATATTCTTGATCAGTGCAGTACATGAAGATGCAATCATCGCCTTCGTTTTCGTTAACATACACGTTTCACATAAGATATTATTATCAGTTTTGTCCTACAAAGTTGCGTACTTAGGTATTTCATGAAAGGAAATGTTACAAAGGCTAAGGCAGGTAAATACATATTAGTAAACATCCATTAGCCGAGCTGATCCGCAAATGTCATGTCATGGGGTGGCCGGGTACGTTAATGCGTCAAGGTAATCGGGATCATGTATCCGAGCCATTGGATCCATGGAAGCAGCCAAGGCGCCTTATCCAGTAGCTTCGGTACCCATAGCTTGGGAGCTCAATCAGCTCTAGCGACAAGAAAACAAAAGACAACTACTAAGGTCCTACTCCGTAATGACAATAGGAATAGTTAGGTAACTAGGTAGGTAGGCAGGCGTCGTCAAACTTGGAGGGCCTTCAGGTCTTTTAATTTTGGTCTGGTTAAAGAGCGATGGCTATTACCGTATTTCGGAAAAGGGTTGGAAAATCCGCATACTTGGACGCATTGAGAACAGCTAAGAGTCTAGCCTAACTATAACCTAACGTTAACTGACTCTCAAGGGACGACGGACTGCTTAAACTACTACTTAACTACTAACTAGGTACCTAACCAATTAGATCACCTACCTACCTTAGTAGGTAATTGGTGTATTCTTGATGTAATACCCAACTGGCAGCAGCTGAATTTCCAACAGTGGGACGAACTCTAGAATAAAGCACATACATACCTATCTGTCTGGCAGGAATGCGAATGTCTAGAAAAACGTCGAAGTTCCATCAGGCGGGCTCACAAGGCATCGCGTCGAGCAAAACATTACAAGCTTAATTGGGAAACGAAACTCGTCACACCCGTTTGGTCCCCAGGTTCAGACCATGCTATGAGGCGAACCGCGATGGCAAGAGTGCAACATACAGCTTACGAACTTGAGACATGAAGCTTAGATGATTATCGCCACCTTGGCTACCAGTATTCTCTCGAGTTCATCAACGCTCTTGGGTCGTTACTGAAAGTAAAGTTGATCACTTGCAAACTTCTGCACATCATGTCAGGGTGATTGACTCGGGGATTTTTGTAGACCGGGAGCCCGATGATGACCGTGCGCCGGGAATAACAGCTCGGGGTCCAAATTTGATGAGCCGATAAAGAGAGCTGGTCAATTGGAGCAAGCTGTGCAAGCCAGCAAGGCGCCTCGCTGCACGCTCGCCTGGAAGGTCCGGGTCGAATTGAGGTCTAGACTCTCTATTAGCTCGTACATCTTGGGAAATGGATCGACCAAAAGACAACGGGTCCAGTCCAAATGTATCCAGTACCGAGCCTTCAATGACCTGGGAGCCGGGATTGTTTAGAAAGCCCTGAAAACAATGACGCTTTGGCTGTATGAAAGAAGGATAGAATGCCGTTCTCCCAATACTCGAGGTCTCATATAGAACATAGAGATCTATCATGAGTACTCTTAGGCCTTAGAACTGAACAAGAGCACCCCAATGTGCTGCTGGCTTTGAATTCGAAATCGTCTGCTCTATCACACGAGCAGTAAAGAAGGGTTGCGCTGCATGTACCCTGAACTTTAGTGGAGTTTCAGGCATTACATCATTTTAACGACCCTCGCTTCCCGTTCTTCTGGGAAAATACATACATCCCTGTGCTTATTAACTTAGTTCCCAGCCCAGCCCAGTCCAGTTCGGTTCAGTTCAGTTCAGTCCACTGGAAGGCGTCGAATTATTGGCAGCTGCTTAAGTTTTTTTCCCACTCCACGCGTGCAGTCTTGCAGACTCACACAAGGCACTCGCTGATCAACCTCAGGCTGCCTTTGGTCTGCGTCCTCTAAATCCAGGCCTCCATTTTATTTCCTTTCCTCCTTTAGGTACTGACTCAGCGGAGCTGAACACCTATTGCCAGGCGGCAGACGCCATTATCCCAATCTTTCAGTCTCTCCTTTACCAGATCCCAAACTTTCCCATCGCATCCAGCCTTTCATTCCCACGAACCCGAGAGGTTCTGCGATAGCGTCGACACGTACACGTTCCTCGACCACCTGCTTCCAACGATTTCTGATCTTTCGACTGCTCCCTCCCGGTTTCACCTTTGCAACATCCTATGAGCCGCTATTGAGGTTGTATCGATAATACCAAGAGCATCTTGTGATGCGCCTCCACCAAAACGTTCACACGCGACAAACATGGCCAACCCAGTAGGCGAAGAGAACTGGCTTGCCTATCTCGAGGAGATCGTCCGCAACGCCTCCGACCTCGAGAAGCGAGTCGATGCCGTCGAACATTACAAGCTGGCTGTAGACTCTGAGCCTGGCAGCTTGCGCATCTGGCTTGCTTACTGCAACTACTTCTGGTCCTTGTGGGAAGCTACTCAGAGTCCTACCGGCCATGGCTGGTCTGATGAGGAGCGCATGCTCGGCCGAGAGCTCTTTTCCTTCGGCGGCGCTCTCGATTTGTGGCAGCAAGGCTACGAGGCTATTCGCTACCGCCTAGGGGATAGTCATCTTCTCTGGGATCGCTGGATCTCACTGGAGATGGAATTGCTGGCAAAGACGAGAACCCCCGAAGGCATCAAACGCATCACACATCTTTATCGTGACCGCCTACTTACACCTCACCTTACCTGGGACGAAACATCTCAGAACTTTTCTACCTTCCTATCAGAGTACAACCGCACTGCATGGGAGGAATCCATGAAGGATGTTACCACCAACGCTCAGGAGACCAAACGACTGATCGCTGCTCGAGACCCTTACGAATCTGCTTTAAAGAAAGCTGTGGACGCGAACGATGTCGAAGCCCAGAAAACTGCCTTCACTACGTATCTTGAGTGGGAAATGCTTCAGAGTAAGCGCAGCAACGACAATCCCGAAATTGGTATTGATCTTTGCCGTGGCCTCTACGCACGTGCTCTCACCGGTGCTCTTGCTACAGACCAAAATGCCTGGTACGAGTACATCGTATTTCTATCCTCATCCAACACCGATCTCCAAGCGCCGAGCAGTCTACTCGTCGTACTCCGTAGAGCTGTTCAGCACTGCCCATGGTCCGGCCTCCTCTGGAATAGATACATTATGTGTGCCGAAGAAGCTAAGCGCCCATTCGCTGAGGTTGAAGCCATCAAACATCTTGCAACTAGTGAGGATCAGCTACTCAAAGATGGCATGGAGGGAATGATCGAAATGTATGTGGCTTGGTGTGGGTTCTTGAAAAGAAATGCCATGGATGCTAGTGCCTCCGACGAGGCTGTTGACGTTGCCGATGTAGGTCTTATCGCGGCTCTGGAGGACGTTTCAGTTGTTGGAAAGCGACTCTATGATAAGGACTTCCAGGGTGACCCCAAGTTTCGACTTGAGCGCATTTACATTCAGTATCTCACAGAAAAGAAGGGTGCCGTGGACGAAGCCAGGGCCCAGTGGAACAAACTGGCAGCCCTGCAGATCCATGCAGATAACCACGACTTTTGGTTCAGGTATTATATGTGGGAGATGCTCATCTTCTCATCAGCCGGTGCTCAAGACAACAGAAGCCCTACGCCCTCGTCTGGCGGTGGCACTTATCGAATACCAACTCTGGCTACTGCCGTTCTTACCCGTGCTGTTGCTCGCAGAACTATTGACTGGCCAGAGAAAGTTCTGGATGTGTATATGCAGCATTGCAACGACTACGAAATGCCTCTGCCTCTGCGAAAGGCAGCGGACCGGGTTCACAAGACCGGGAAAGAAGTTAAAAAACGCAGGGAACGGGAGGAACAAGAGAAGGCTGCGGCTTATGCCGCGTACTACACTGCCCCTGAAACCCTAGAGAAGGGCCAGGGGTCTGCATCCCCAGGTGGTTCCAAAAGGAAAAGGGACCCTGAAGTTGACACCACAGATGGACCTGAAAACAACCACAAGCGACAAAGGAATGAGCCCAACGGGGTGGTGTCTGAGCAAGCTCTGGCAACCCAACACGGCCAGCCCCTGAAGAGAGACAGGGAGAATTCGACCATCCTTGTCTCCAATCTACCAGCAGATGTTGATAAAACCAAGCTTCGACAATATTTCAAAGAGTATGGCCACATCAACAACATAACGGCTCTGGTCCGCGATGAGAAGACCGATTCCTCGACAGCGCTCATCGAGTTCAAGTCCCCTGAAGAAGCTCAATCCGCCTTGTTGAGAGACGGCAAATACTTCGGCCAGTCACAACTTGCCGTAAAGCTAGGGAACGACTTGACCGTTTACGTTGCAAATTATCCTCCTGCTGCTGATCAAAAGTATATCCGCGACCTTTTCAAAGATTGCGGCGAGATCTTGAGCATCAGATTGCCCAGCCTCAAGGTCGATACCCGACGCCGGTTTTGCTATGTCTCGTTCCGAGACCAGGAGGCATCAGCGAAAGCTGTGAAGAAGGACGGCATGGTTCTTGAAGGAGGCTTGAAACTTCTCGCTAAATATTCTGACCCCGGTCACAAGAAGGCTCGTGAAGGTGCCCTTGCAGAAGGCAGAGAGATACATATTAGCAATTTGGATCGAACGGCGACCGAGGCGGATTTGAGAGAAGTCTTTTCCAAGTATGGCAATGTCACGCGAGTCAATCTTCCTCGAAACTTGGTGGGTAAGACTAAAGGATTTGCTTTCATTGATTTTGCGACCAAAGAGGAGGCTGAGAAGGCCGTGGCGGAAATGAACAATACCAAGTTCAAGAGCCAGATCCTAGAAGTTTGTCTTTCCAAAGAGTCAAAGATCAAACGTGCTGCAACAACCGTTGTTGCGGATACCGCCAGAAGCTCGCCTGCGCCTTTATCGCACGATGCTGAGGGTGACGAGGCAATGGCAGACGCACCCGATGAAGCTCAGTCCAAACCCACCGCATCAGACATCTCAGCAAAGACGATCGCTCTTTTGGGCCTACCTGATACTGTGAACGATGCACGAATCCGAGCACTCGTCGAGCCTTTGGGTGCTATCGTGAAGCTAACTGTGTTCCCCGGTAATGGTGGCGCCAAAATTGAGTTTGTCGATGCAGCTACCGCAGGCAAAGCGAGCTTACAGCTCGATAGCATGGACTTTGAGGGTCACAAGCTTCGAACGGGCACAATGGATGAACTTCGGCAAGCCAAGGCAGAACGTACCCAGGACCGTATTGTCTACGGGAGAAGGGGCAGGGATAAGGACAAGGGCCAAGAACAGAAAACCAAGGCTGCAGGTAGCTCGTCAACCACTCTCATGCCACCGCCAACTACAATCCGGCGACCAGTGCTCGGGAAACCTGGCCCTCGTCGTGGTCTTGGCTTCAAGCCCAGCGCATCCAAGCCGGCTCAGAACGGCGATTCTGATACCTCGCCAAAGAAGAGCAACGCCGACTTCAAGGCGATGTTTCTCGCCAGTGGTCAAGATACGAAGGTTGGAGACGAAGGAGACAAGCCTGGGTCTGAGCCATGACTGCAGAGTCAGTAGCTGGTTTTGAATGGTATACTGATTGATGTAGCATACCTAATGTAATTCATTAAACTTCAATGATGTCCAGAGGACTAGGGAAGGGAAGGGAAGGGAGTGTTACAACGTGGCTGTACGAATAATGCAGATGTCGAGTGGGAATCAATCAAATCAAACCTGAGCTAACATGCGGTCTTGATCTTTCATTTGCGTATTGCTCAGACGGCTTTCAACTGATCTTCAGAGCCAGCACGGCTATATCTCAATCACTCCCCAAGAAACTCTGGCAAGATATACAATAAGCACCCTTCTACCAGCATGTGCAACTTATCTCCCGTTCTGGTTTCTGGCATGTCACGATGACAATGACATTCAGCATACAGCTAGTCAAACAAGACGCCCATAGAATGTGTATTTTCACCCCTTGCTCGTTATGCCCGCGGTAGATCTATCCTGAAAATCTTGCGTGAAGATCCTCTGCCAAACATCAAGCCACTTTATTTGCTGGGCAGTAGGAAGCTTGCCTGGCTGCTTGAAAGATCTCGTCAAGAGCTCTCGTAAACGTGTTCGGAGGACCTTCATGACTAGCATCGTTTTCCAGTCGGGTACTGCAAAGCGACCGCGGTTCCCGTCTAGAACGATGACCCCGGAGTACATCTGGTGTGATCTTATCAGTGACATAGCTATAGAAAAGTTTTGGTATTCTTACATCACATCGTACATCACCACAAAGCAGTGCAATGGCGAATGCTTCCACAGCAGTAGCCTCGTGGGCGTGGTAAACCCTTTTTGAATATTAGCCAGTTCACCTCTCTTGATTTCAGCACAACTTACGCTCTGGACTGCATAATGTGATAATAGGAAAGCCACCGAAGGTCGTGGCGTCCCCGATTGATAGACGATGGATGGAGGCTGATGGACTGACTTGTGCCGATGTTTCTTAAGCCCTTGGACCCGGGCGCGTCTCTCACAAGAATCTTGGGGTAAAAGCTCCAGGCGATAACTGATGCCGAGACAACATCGTTATCGCTGTTGAGGTTGACTCTTCGAGGAATATCATAAAATTGCTGCTGCCTTCGTCCTCTGCCTCCAGAAAACCGAGCTCGGGAAAGGGCTCTTCTTTCGTCTTCGGTGAGAGAAAGAAAGCCGGAGTCGGCGAGAGAGGTAAGGAGTTGTCCTTTGAGGTCTTCGATGTTTGCAAGAGTTTGCTGACTCAAAAAGTTCTTGCGGCAAAACTGGAACTCCTTTCCGCCGCCCCCAGCAGACTGGCATACACGCTTCCAAGCCAGGTATGCGTTGTAAATAGTGAGAAGATCGGAATCTCCCCGACGGAAAGCCATGCGAGCATTATCTGCCTGAGTGCGCTGTCCAAACGGCGCCGAGAAGGGTGACTTGGAAGATAGGATAGCAGCAGAAGTAATAGCCATGTCCAAACATTTGAAGATGACTCCATACAGAATGAGTTTACCCAAGAATACATCTAAAGGTAACCTGGCCAACTGGTGTCCAAGCGGCGTGAGTTCTTCAGCCTGAGTAAGGGCGCGAACGTCCACAAGAGCATCAACCGCCCGGCGGATGTTTTTTGCCGAGGGGGGGTCAAGAGCATCGCCAAGTGTCTCCTCGATCCCTCCAATCTTACAGATCTTGACTCGGATCGCCAAGTCTTGCAAAGAAAGTCGAAGCATCTCTGGCGTCTGCTGGTCGCTCATCAACTGATCATGGCGGAATTTGGTGAACATATGAAAGCATAATCCTTCTTGTACACGCCCTGCTCGACCACGCCTTTGCTTTGCGTTGGCACGGGAAATGAAGGTATCAATCAGGCGTGAGAGTTGGCGTCGCTCATCGAAGCGCATCTCACGATGCTTGCCAGTGTCAATGACACAAGTGACGTCAGGAATGGTGATTCCGGTCTCGGCGATGTTGGTGGCAAGAACGATTTTACGAATTCCAGATGGTGGGACAAGGAACGCTGACTCTTGGTCCTCTGTAGCGATGGTTGAATGGAGAGGATAAATAAGCCAGTCTTTGGCAAACCTGGGATCTCCTAGCAGCATGTCGTTCAGTGTACGAATCTCAGCAATACCTGGCAAAAACACCAGAATAGCCTTGCTAAAATCCTGCAGATGTTCCTCAACGGCAATTTGAGCTATCAACTGCAGAATAAGATCGAACTCAATACGGTACTCATCAATTTGAGCCAGTGTTGACCGTGTTCTCGCGGCGTATCCTGATAGACTCTTGGAAATATCACTCTTGGTGTTTTCTCCTTCACTCTCTGCAGGATCATCATCTAAGTCAACCATTCTATCAGGACCAGAATCCGCAGGTGTGTACCCAGTGAGTTCAATGGCATCCTCGAGGTATCTAACCTGCACTGGGAACGTTCTTCCAGGTACATTGAGAACTGGTGCTCCACCAAGGTAAGCAGAGAAACGATCCGCGTCAACTGTAGCAGACATAAGAACAACCTTCAAGTCCTTGCGTCTTATGAGGAGCTTCTTCAGGACGATCAGAAGAAAGTCGCTGTCAATAGACCGCTCATGAACTTCATCAAGCACCAGGTGCGTCACTTCCTGCAGGTCATTGGAGCCCTCGAGCATTCGCATTACAATACCAGTGGTTGCATACACCAGCCTTGTTTCCCTCGAGGTATTAGCCTCAAGTCGAATAGAATATCCCACAAGGGATCTATTCGTTCCAAGGTCATTTCTGCTTTCTCCAAGCTCTTCACTGACACGACGAGCGAGAGAGATCGCAGAGATCCTTCTTGGCTCTGTGCAGTAAACCTTGCAGGGCTTCCCCTGAGAAAGCTGGTGCTCCAGCAAGAAAGACGGAACTTGAGTACTCTTTCCGCTATTGTCCAATTAGTAAGACCTCGAGAACGACGTGCTTCAGGACCATACCATCCAGTTTCACCACAAACAATTACCACTTGGTTCTCATCGACAGCAGTCAAGACTTGTTCTCGGAAATTCCACATGGGGAGTTGCATTCGGGATTGCTGAGTTTCGTTAGCGTCATTGAAACCTAGTAGCACAGGCTGCTGCTCACCAGCATCATCTGAAACTTGCGCGTGCTCGACTTCTCTGCCCAGATCTTCTGGAAGTACTCCCCATTTGCAGTACTCTGCCTTGATCGATCTTGACCACCATCATCGCCAGAGTCGTGAGTATGCTTGGCGCCCCGTCCCCGAAACGCGCCCTGAATGATAACACCATCTTCAAGCTCCTGGTCGTGTCTTTGACGCACCAGAGCTCTCAAGTCCCTCACCACATCTCTGTCTTGCTCATCAATTTGAGCTTTTCGTGCTTCAGCAAGTTCCGCCCAAACGTCTTTCCAGACATGGGGAAGTCTGATTACCACTTTTTCGTCCTTGGCGTTGCCGCTGAAGGTATAAAACAAGGCCGCTGTGGATATATAAGATTCGGATTGCTTAGCATCTGGTGTTGCAATGCCAACCATCGTAAAAGTGAATCTATAAGGGTCCGCTGCAATTTGTATGTCAGATGAAGCCGCTGGGGGTGGCACTTCTTGAGGTTTGGTCCAGGTAATATCCAAGGAATGACGATTGGCGAAGGAAGCATCTGAAACAACAGAGTATAAAATTCTCGCCGAAGAGTCCCTAAGATTCACTATCAGCACATTTTACGCGATTTGTAGCGACATCGAGTGGGCTTACCTTGAACGACATGCTTCCTCGAGTGCCCTTCGAGGACTGACGCCTGTCCACTTCCCAAAATCGCGAATTATAATTCGATTTCCATCGGCTGAGTTTACAATGGTGCGGTTTTCGCCCGTGCTTGCGTCAAACTCATTTTGTGGCAGAGATGCAAATAATCCGCCGATATCATCCTCATCCTCATCTTGCCCTTCGGCTAAGACTTCGGCGGCGACACGCTCAGCTTCATCGTTAATGTCATCATTCTCCACTTGCTCATGAGAATCTTCATCCGCTCTGGTTGGTATCACCTCGGCTTGAGCTTGGTATTCTTGCTTCTCGGCAGCCAGTCGCCTTTCGATATCAATTCTTTGGGCTCTCCACCGTTGCTCGGCTTCATACTTGTCGAAAAGAACATCATTTTCGATCTTCCGAATCTTAGCTTCGAGCTTGGCAACAGCAAGTTCTTCCTCCGATTCTGGAGTCTTTGAGCTATCTGGCCGGTCCTTTCCGCGCTCGTGCTCTAGCAATTTGGCTTTAGTCTCTAGGTATTTTGGAACAAGCTCATCAGCTTCTATGTCGCTGTCACAAGCTACCACCAGTTTTTTACTGGGTGAGGAACCTTTGACTGATCGAGCGTTGCTCCCAGCTGACTTGTTTTTACGGCCGTTCCGAGTATCAGTTTGACGAGGAGTACTCGAGCGGCTCGGCATTGGACTGTCCTGGGGGGTATCTATTATACATAATTAGTCGGAGAGGGGCCCAAGACGTCGGGAGACGAACCACCGGTGCTTTTGGGTATCGGCTTCGATCTAGGTTCGTAACTCGGCAATTCTCCAATCTTGCATTCTCTGGCTAGCCAGTCAAGGGCCTCTTCGAGGCCCCAGATAGAATCTCGATTTGTCGATGCGACATTAGGTGCTATATCGAGGATATATCGTATCGCAGCCGTCACTCTTTCCGTGGGGAATTCTGCTGCGATCAGGGTCTGTTGTAGTGTCCAGAGGCGGACGATCATGTCTTCTTCAGGAGGCACCTTCCCAGCGCCAGCATTCTCTGAGGAGGACAGGCTAGAAGCGGCAAATCGATTTTCTGCTTGCACGAGGTCGAGTATGTGATCCATCAAGTCTGGCGGTAACCATTTGAAACTATTGATAGAATCGGCCTGGCCACGAAGGAGTCGACGGTCAGTATCGAGACGATTCCGTTGCCGTTGAGCATCTTTCTTTGTTTTTGCTGCATGTTTCTCCACGAGCAGTTGTAGCTCAGATTCTTCTAACTGCTTCTCGAACTCTTCGGGGCTGAGGGCCGTCTCTTGGGTTGCAGCATTGGTGGTCGTATCGCC